TATCAATCGATTGTCAAAAGCAAATTCTTGAAGTTTTACCTCTGTTGATTTCTAAGAGCTTTATGGCTAAAGTTCTTACATTTAGGTCATTATTCTATGGCAGGGAGGGATAGACAAACTTTTCTGTAAAGAACCAGATAATAGTTTAGGTTTGGCAGGCCATACTGTCTCTGTAGCAACTACTAAAAGTATTATCATAGTGTGAAAGTAGCCCTTGTTGTTACTGTCAAAGTGCCACTGAGTTAGTTCAGACTCATAGAGACTCTGTATAGGGTTTCCAAGGCTGTTCATCTCTGTGGCAGCAGTCTCATTTTCTCAACAGAAAAATGAGCCAGTAGGCTCAAACCACCAACTTGTTCAAAATTTAGTGTTTATCCAACAGAGCCACCATGCTTCCTGAAAGTAGCCATGGAAAGTATGTAAATATGCGGGATAGCTATTTCCAGTAAAACCTTATTTACAAACACAGGCATGCTAAGGTGAGTCCTGTTCAAAAGGCTGGGTGGTTAAAGAAAAAGGAGATGCAGGTCTTATGATGCACAAAGATGTTCCTAAAGTGGAGGTGAGGAGGGGGCAGTATTATTGGGAAGATTTATGATAAGCCAAGGATTCTTAAGCTGGGGCCCATACATTCTCTGTTGCTGTTAAGTACCATCGAGTTGTTTCCAACTCCTAGTGACTCTGTATAGGGTTTCTGAGAAGAGGCTGGTTGGTTTGAACCACTGCCCTTACAGTTAGTAGTTCAGTGTATATCCTATAGTGCCACACTTTTTGGTGGTGGTGATGGCAGTTTAATGCAGAGTAAGTTCTGACTCATAGCTACCTGTACAGGGTGTCTGAGGCTGTAAACTTTTACAGAAGTAGAATCCTTGATGTGTTTGCAGAGAGAAGAATCATAGGGATTCTTTCTGCTATTAAGGGACTCCCACTGCCCAACTGCCTTAGTCGTCTAGTGGTGCTGTAACAAAACCACAGTGAATGGTTTTAACAAACAGAAATTTATTTTCTCACAGTTTAGGAGTCGAGAAGTTACAATTCAGGGCACCAGCTGAAGAGGAAGTTTTTTTCTGTTGGCTCTGGAGATAGATCCTTGTCTCTTCTGAGCTTCTGTCCCAAGGTAATCTTCAGGTGCTTGACATCTCTCTCATGCTTCAATCATGACCCCTCTGCTCTGCGACTTAATTGTGTTTATATCTCAAAAGCTATTGACTCAAGATACAGTCTATACTAATTCTGTTTCATTAATCTAGCAGGAAATCCATTCCCAAATGGGGTTATAACCACAGATATAGAGGATAGAATTCAGAACACACATTTTGGGAGGACAATCTGTAACAATGATCCAGTCAGGCAGCCATTTATTAGTTTAACAAATACTGGTTGGGCACCTACTACAGACCAAGCACTATGTTTAGTTAGCACATGGGATTCAGGGCAAAGATGAGACACACTATCTGCCCTCTAGACACCCCCAGCTTGCAACTAGGCAAGTTCTATATTCAGATCCCTGCTCCCAGTTTCCTTATCTATAAAATGGAGATAATAACATTTTGTGATTCATAGAATTTTCACTGCTGATTTTCAGAAGTAGATCACTAGGCCTTTCTTTAAAGTTTATCATAGTCTGGAAGCTCTGCTAAAACTTGTTCATATGCACAACATGCAAGCCTCCCCTACTAGCTGTACATGAGGTGCATGGGCCAGGAATCAGACCTGGTTCACTTCACGTGCTATTTTGAACAGCTGGAGAAGGCCTTGTTGACAACTATCAACCAACCAGTCAGTTGCCACTGAGTCAACTTAGACTCATGGTGATCTCTTGAACGTCAGAGTAGGAACTGTGCTCCATAAGGATTTTCAATGGCTGCGACCTTTTGGGAAGATCTCCAGTCCTTTCATCCAAAGTGCCTCTGAATGGGTTTGAACCACCAACCTCTTGGTTAGTAGCTGGGCACTTAACTGTTTGGGCCACAGAGGACACCAGGACGACCCCCCCACCCCCCATACAATTGTCCAGCACCATCCATTCAACTCATCAGACACTTCTTTAGGGCCCAAACTGATGACACTGAAGACAGCACCATGGTTTCAGGGCCTTTATTCTGGAAAGTACAGAGTATTTGCAGTCTATTTGACAGGCACTGTGTATGAGACCAAGTCCCATGGGAAGAGAGGAAGGAAAGCCTCTTTGTGGGAGTCTTCTCATCCAGAAAAGAAGGCACCGACCAGGGGCAAACACCCTGCTTCTTCCCAAGCCTTAGAGCCAGGGTTATATGCATGCAGGGATTAAGTGGCTCCAGAGAAACTCAAAGCTAAGTACAGAGAAAGAAGGAAACAGAACATCTTGGGAATGGGGTTACTTTTGGCTCTTTCAGCCAAGTGGGGGAAAAAAAGAGAGAAGGTAAAGCTTAAAAAAAAAAAAAAAAAATTGAGCCTTTCAGTCTTAGTGTTTTGTGCACTTAAAAACCAATGAAATAAATATAACTTAAAAACCTCTTATATGACATGAAAGGCAAGTCTAGGGAAAGCAGCTGAGGAAAGCTTCCACAAATGCTAAGCAATGCAGATGTGTTAGTACTGGATGAGTCCCCATCGAAGGCAGGGCAGTAGGGTCTGGCACCTACAGTGTATTTTACTACCTGACCCGACTCCCACACATCTCCTCCTAGATCTTGCCAGGACCAGGGCTGAGCAGGCACAGATTTTCTTTCAGACCACTAGGCAGAGTTCTAGGACCCATCTATCCCCACTGAGGCAGGGAGGGAGAGAGTGTTACGGGTAGCAGGATGTCAGAGCAAGGTATTTAAAATCTAAATAATAACCCTAAAAAGCAATCATTTTCTACCACCTTTACAAACATAATATAATCCAAAGCAAAATATTGCCAATAAGAGGCCCCATGGACCACCTTAAATAAACTAACATTTGCATATAGCACATTGTTTGCAAACACCAAGTGCCTGCTTAAAGTGCTAAACAAATGTGTTCTCTTAAGTAGGCTAAGCTGGTTCCCTGTACTTTTTTTCATATTGTTCATTTGCTTTAGCAAATTTTTTATAGGTAGAATAAAGGTAGCCTTTGGCTGGCCTGTAGCTATAATCTTTATGCCTGAACTAATGATGTCCCTTCCAGCTAGTCAGCTGCAGGTGAGTGAAACACAGATCCCCAGAATAGCTGTAAGACCCAGAGAGCTGGTCTTGCAGCCCCAAAGCCAACACTCCTTCCATTTCCATCATATACCATCACAAGCTCTCTGTGACCTTTAGCAAGTTGGCCCACATAGGAAGCTCACCACTGTTTTGACTAAGAGCCAGAAAGTTTAAAAGTGGTTTCCTTTTTTCAAAGCTGTACTTATACATCCTCATATATCCCACCTTCAGTCGCCACCCATCATTCACTCAGCATGAAAGCGAAAATGTACATGTCTTGTGGGGGAAGTCGATAGTTCCCTCTGTGACTCTGGGGTGACAGGGTGGGCACCCTAGGAACTCCTTCTGTGGCTACACCTCTTGGTGCAAACTTTCTCAACTGTGTTCCTGAGGCAGCTTTCCTGCTGAGATACCGGCCCCAGGCTTTACTGGCCTAGCCTAGCCAGAGTGTCCCTGTACCCTGAACTGCTGACAGCAAAAGAGAAGACCAGCAAGCCCTGTGGAGTTTGGGGTCACATCTCCAAATGTCAATATAATCAAAAGTTATTTTCTTAAAAAGTCATGTAAATTTTACATTTTCCTCAAAACTGTACACTACTGACATTACAATTAAAATAAGGTTGAAAATTCATTTCCCACAAACCTAAGCAAAATAGAGATTCAGGGGGGGGAAATGTGTGAAATAGCCTGTCATCCTCAGCACATACTCTTGGAATCATCCATACCACACTGGGGAAGCACAGGTCTAAGCCCTTCAGGCTGCAAAACTTGCGTGACAGGGAAGAAAAAGATAATGCTGGTGAGCCAGAATCCTGCTTCCTCATAGCCCTGCTCAGGGAAGAGCCCCATGCATGCAGGCAGGTGGAATGATAGACAGGAGAAGTATCTCCTCTTCCTAGACCTGGTGCAGGTCTTTCCACCTTGCCCCATGCTGTGTGTGCCTGCCCCCCTCCCACCCAGCCCCCTAAGTCTTGCCAGAGCAGGGAGCAGGCAGCCATCACTGAGAGCTCAGGTTTGTAGTATCCCCCTGAATCCATGGGCAGTTCCTGAAAATGGAAGAACAATTCCTACTTTCCTACTTGCCCCTTTCAGGAAGGTCTCTGTCAGAAGACAGCCAGGTCAGCTTATATCTACCTGAATCTGAGCCAAAGCTAGAGAGTTTCAGCTCTCAATGGATACGGTTCCTGCTTTTGCAGCTAGCTCTAGGGTGATCTTGAACTACTAAGCAGATGGTACTGTCTACCTGGTCAACATGCAGCTCCCCAAATAGTTTTGTGTCCCTATTGCCAGGAATACTGGTGTGGTGCTGTTAAGATAAGCACTGAACTTCTAACCACAAAGTCAGCATTTCAAACCCACCAGCTGTTTCTTGGAAACCCTAAACAGGGTCACTATGAGTCAGAACCGACATGACAGCACATTTAACAACAACAACATTACCGGAAAGCTGCTGACACACTAGGGCTTATAGTCCTTTTCCCACCCAGCTATGATTGGGAGGCTGCCACAGAAATGGGACTGTACTAACTATACTGATCAATAGAGGGCAGCAACCCCACAGTTCAGCTTGCACAAGTGTTAGGTCCCCCTAGAGTAGCCTTTGCCAGCTCTAACCCTATAGGATGCTGAGCCCAAGGCCTGGGCACTATTCTTCTATTTACAAAAAGGAACGGAAGTGCCACATTCAAGCCCATGTGTTAGGAATACCACTAGGAAATCTCATCTCTTCTGGTCTTCTACAAAGCATCTTGTAGTGCAGTTCTTCTGGACAGAGGGTCAGTTCTGGGCTTGAGCCCAGGAGGAAGAGAGAGGCGTGGAAGTGGGTACAAGGCAGGTGTCGGGAAGTCACACTCAGACACACACATCTTCCATCCCTGTGAGGATGTCAATGAGGTTGTTCAGCCCTGAGAGGTAGCCGTCCTCCCGGTTCCCCTCCTGCCAGGGCACGTCATGCCTCAGGGTCTGCCCCTCAGGCAGGGGGGTAGTCTTCCCAAAGTCAATCATCCACACCTTGGCCTGTTCTTTCTTGTCATGAATGAAGAGGAGGGAGCTGCCGATGACCTGAGGGTAAGGACACCAGGGGATAAGGGTGTAGGTGGGCTGGAGTCCCCATTCCCAATCCTCACACCACCCAATCCCCACACCACTACCATGCCTGCTGCACTTGTAAGGATGTGAAAAAGGCTGTGGCCTGAATGAACCTTGGCTCAGCCAAGGAGGCCCAGGACCAGCACCTTCATTCCTCCAGCAAGTGACAAGTCAGGGATACCTGTTTCCAGAAAGGGACCACCCTTCTGTGTGAATAATAGCAAAGAGCAAGTTTGAGTGGGCAGACCTCAACCACCCCTCCTACCTCAATGCTTTCTACTACAATTTCTATATACACCAGACCTTTAGGCCTTTCCTCTTCCCCTCCTCCTAGGGGACTCCACTCAAAAAGCCTTAAGTGACTGCTCACAGTGAATGGGAAGATGCCCAGGAAGATTCCATACTCTACCTGGTGGTGGAAGAAAGGACCCTATTCAAAACCCAGACACAGCACTACAGGAGGAGGGCAAAACCCAGATCACCCAGCCTCTTCCCTCCCTGCCAATGTAGCAGGGCTTCTCCAGGGCAGCTCCTGCCTACTCCCGCTCTCCTCCTTGCCCCCCATGACAACTGACAGCAAACAGCCTCCCCTGTGGGAGAGAGTTAAGTACTTTTTCCCAAATATGACGGCACCCAATGTATTCTCCCCTGGGTCCCTGTGTGGGACCAGGAAGAAGAAGGGTGTGGGGAGGGGTGAGGGTTTATTTGAATTCCATAGTTCCCAGAATCCAGGTCAGGGAAGACCACTAGGAAATCCTGCACCTGGAGAAGAGTCTTCCTCTTCCCAGATGGAAAGAATAGAAACCTGACTTGAACTCTTTCTACACCTGAAGTTTCTGAGATTCCAGAAAAAATATAGTAAAACAAACAAAAAAAAAATCTCAAGAACTAAAGCCAAAACTGAACAAGAAGGCAGAGAAAAGCTGCCAGGCAAAGCCTGGGGCTTCCTAGTCAGCAGGAGGCAGCAGAGGAGTCCTTTGGCCTAGCACAGGGAGGTCAGAGGTGATGGGAATTTGAAGCTAACATGTGGGTCCAGTGGCCTAAAGTCTGTCCACAGAGGAAGGAGGAGGCTGAGGAAAGAGAGGCTCACACAGGCTGCACAAGGACCTTCCCTTAGGCTAGGACATAGTGAACCTATGAGGATCCAAGGACCCAGAGACCAAATGAAAATGGCAGGGCAAGGAGTTGGCATCTTCTCCCTCCCCCAGTTCTCACAGGAGCCCCCCTCAGGGTCACCACATAACGTACTATAGGGTCTATCCTGGCTGAGGAACAAAGAGGGATACAATCCTAAGGTAAGATATGTTGTATCTGCTTGAGGAGGGGGCTGTGGTACAATTTACACAATAATTCTGGTCTACCCTTCCTATAGGGAAGTACCTCCTCCCCTTCTCCTACTGCAGGTACCTTAGACCAAGCAGGGCTCAGGCTGAGGCTCTATCTAAAGCAGGGCAGGGGCTGCTTGCTGAAAGAGCTAGAAATTGGCAGGGACTAGTGGGAGCCCCCAGTTGTGGCATTCATCATTCCTGGGGGTGGTATGAGTAAGTGCGCTCAGGGATCCAGTCCCTGGACTCCCTGGTGCTGAGGCTTACAAACCTGTCCAAGGAGCAGGCTGACAAGTCCTAAATCCTCTCCTCCAGGGTGTCCACATTCCCTGTCTACTGCTTTTTGCCCCTATGAAGATGGATTGGTGGGAAAGGGTGGGAGGCGGTGGGAGGCAAGTGGCAAGTTATAACCCTGCTTCAGGAGTGGTACTGAAGAGAAGCCTGCCTTCCCCAGAGTTTGAAGACCTTGGGGTGGTAATGCAAGGTTGTTACTTGGCTACTCCAGCATCTCAGAGAATTTCTGCTCTAAAGTCCCTAGGGTGTGTAGAATAGAAGTATCACCACAGCTGCCAGCATGGACAAGCCTTATGAGCTAGGAGTGCGAGGAAGAAGGAAGGAGGCAGTGTCCACAGATGTCTCAAGGTCTCAAGCACCCAAGTGGTCACCCCAGGAAGCCAGGTAGCATGGTCCCCGCATGTAGTAAGGAATGGCCCTTGATGGTCAGCCCATGACTACAATCATTCTAAAAGCACTCATGGCTTCTGCCTCAGGTGGTGTGCCCACTTATCAGGTGAAGAGACCACGTAGGCCAATGCCAGCTAAGGAACATGGCTGTCTGCCCAAGAGGCAAAACATCTACCAATATTTACCTCATGGCACTTGAAGAAAGGAGACACTTCTAGGGTTGTCCGAATGTCCTTCAGTCGGTCTCGGTAAGCAATCTAGGAACAGAAAATGACCAGAATTTTAGATACTATTGTGGGGGTGAGTATGTGTGTGAATTTGAAGTGCCATTTATCTCATTAGAGTCACTAGGTATAAGAAGTGGCAGTGACCTTGAATCTCAGTTATTTACTCCAATCTCATCTGTGAAGAAGAATAGGAGGTCTGCAAAAGGAGGCCCAGTGGGGGCCCAGCCCCATGGTTTCCCCACCTCACACAGCATCATGAGCAGGAGGTGGCAAAGAGTATTCCACATAACCCTGACACCCTCTCAAGGCTGCCACATGATGGCAGTTCTAACAGTTTAGAGTTGGCATTCTTAGAGCCTGGTTGCCATGGTCTCCTCCTGAATATAAACCTCAGTGAAAAGTAAATTGGACACCAAATATCCAACTGGACTGTATGTATGTAAGCCCTAATACCCTCCCCACAGGTCATCTCGTAGATCTGACCAGCCTCAGGTCACAGGGCCTGGAGAAGCCTGTCTATACACACACAAGTACACATGATTCCCCAGTGTCCATCTGAGCAACAGTGATAAAAGTTGGCATGACCAGGCCAGCAGCTGCCTGAGTACTGGACACCAGGAATAAATGGCCTGATCTCAGTGTGTTCTGTGGTCAGCACCTCTGAGGAGTGGGAAGCAGAGAAGGCTCAGGTTAAGGGGAGGTGGGAGGGAAACATCCCTGGAGGTACTCAGAATTGGAGAAGGAGGGGAAGAGAGACTCCTTGAAGAAAAGGATGTTGGTGCCCACTCCTCTCCATCCTGTAATCCCTTGAATCTACTCATGAGAAGATGACTCTGATAAGGGCCTGGGGGGCTCCAGAGCCCATGTCCCATGGCATGCCTGGGTTTCTGACCATTCCAGGGTACCCTGTCTACCAGAGGTAGGTAGCTGTGCAACACTCACAACTGTTAGGATTTCATTGCGTACTCTCCCCCGCCTCCCCAAGATATTTTAAAGTCGTAATCCTTGTATCAATTAATTTAACCTTGTTTGGGGAAATAATTTTCCTTTGCAAATGTTATCAGTTAAGGAAATCATACCAGAGAGTAGGGTTGTTGTTGTTGTTAAGTGCCATCGAGTTGGTTCCAACCCATAGCGACCCTGAACAGGGTTTCCGAGGCTGTAAATCTTTACAGGAGCAGAAAGACTCATCTTTCTCCCACGGAGCAGCTGGTAGTTTCGAACTGCTGACCTTGCGGCTCGCAGCCCGATTCGTAACCACTACACTACCAGAGCTCCTAGAGAGAAGGGTGGGTAGGTAGGTTCTTATTCTAATCCCTTGTGAGTGGCACTTTATAGAAGAGAAAGGCAGGACACATTCACATAAGATAAAAGACAGCATGTGAGGAGCCAGCTACAAACCAAGGAATTGACAAGAACTGCTAGCAGTCACCAGAAACCAGGAACTGTTCCTCTCTCAATGCCCCAAAAGGAAACAGCTAAAGACTGATTTGGACTTCTAGCCTCCAGAACTGTTAAGACTATAAATCTCTGTTCTTTTAGCCACCTACTTGGTGATATTTTGTTATGGGCACCAGAGAAGACTAAGATACTAGCTTAGTTGGGAAAACAAGTGTTCTAATCCCCGTGGTCAGAAGGCCCAGCCTCTGTCCCAGCATGCTTGCTGCTGTAGCCAATGCAAACACAACTACTTTGTCATGAATATGTATTGTCCACACTCCTAGGCTGAGAGAGAGCTGGTCAGTTAGTGCTGGTGAGGATAGTATGATCCTGGGGGCAAATCTTCCCCGAGCCCACAGCCCTAGTGGAGGCTGGCACTGGGCAGGATCCTCACAGCCAGCCTGGCCTCTGGGTCAGTCAGCCCTGGGCTTGAATTCCAGCTCCACCCATTCCTGTTTTTATGTCCTTGACCTCAGTTCCCTCAATTGTAAAATGGGAACAAGAATGTCCACCCACACCAAAGGGATGCTTTGAGGATTCAATGAGTGCTTAACACAATTCCTGGCAGGAAGAGAATGCTAAACAAACAAAATTATCATTCTCTTGTTGTTTTTAGGAACCGTGGAGTCAGTTCCAACTCATAGTGACCCTGTATAGGGTTTCATAGAAGCAGAAAGCCTCCTCTTTCTCCCATCATTCTCTTAAGGGAAGGGAAAACATCTGGAGCTGTGAAGTTGATGACTTACGGGGAGGAGTTAGTTGAGTGTTCACAGAGCTTCCCTGTTCTGCCACTAAGCAGTGTTGACAATTACATCGCTTTCCCCTCACCTTCCAAGCATAAGTTTGGGGTCAGGGTTTTCTGTGTGGCACATGACCAATGCTGCCATGGCCCAGACCCATGTGGGAAGACTGCAAAGAAGACACGATCTGGTTATCCCTTCTTGATTGGCCCTGAGACCTCCGATGCTCCTCAGAATCCCCCTTCTCCACCAACCCCTGTCAACTCACCAGGATGTTCTGGTTTCCTTTGGTGAATTCTCTGAAGGCTTCAGTCACCTGCTCCCTCGTCTTGGTCTTTTTAAAATCCCGGTTCACAGAGCCATCTTCTTTCTGTGATGGAAAACAACCCCCCCAACCAAAACCAGGGTCAGGAGACAATTCACTGGCACCAGACTGGTGGCACCAGGATTGGTTCCCAAGCACTGGCAGGACAATGGAGGCAGTAGATGGAGAAGGGGTCTCACACAGCCAGGTGAAGTGGTCCAGACAAAATTGGTTAATTTGGACAGCGCAAGGTTGGGGACACCTTCTTCTTCCAAGAAGAGGAGGAAATAGAGGATGGCGATGCCATCCCAGGCAGAAGGGAGAGCATAGGGAGGGGGTGTTTGGGTCAAGGCAAGTGGGATGAAGAGTATGGTGTGGCAGAGGCCCGACTTTCAAGCAACGAGACTGAGAGAGACAAAAACATGTAGGCTTCAATGCTTAGGGACTTGGCTGGCTTCTGTGCACAGCCAGGGTCAGACATGGCCACTCTCAGCTTCCTTACAAGTGTTCCCAATCCCAAATCCAGCTCTACATCTTATGTAATAAGAGCTTTTATAAAAAATAAACAATAAACAGATGTCATAGAGTAGACACAGACTAATGGTGACCCCATGTGTGTCAGAACAGAACTCTGTTTCATAGGGTTTTTTTTAATGGCTAGAGTTTTAGGAAGCAGATCTCCAGGCTTTTATTCCAAGTGACTTCTGGGTGAACTTAAAACCTCCAGTTTTTGTTTAGTATCCAGAGCATTATGCATCTGTACCACCCAGGGATGCCTCTTTTATCCTGGTTGTTGTTAAGTGCCATCAAGTCGGTTCTGACGCATAACGACCCTGTAGAGGGTTTCTGAGGAGTGACTGATGGGTTTAAAAAGCCAACTTTTTCAGTTAGCGGTCCAGTGCTGATCCTATCGTGCCACACCAGGACTCACTGAGGCTCTTTGAAAACCAAGATATAATACTGTCCCTGCCAGCTCTGCCCCAGACCTATCCAGCATAAGAGACCTTCCTAGCTCAGGCACTATCTCTGCTACAGTTTGTTTAGATGTAGCATGTGGGGTTTAGCTCATTAAAAAAGAAATTTGTTATCTGGGGATAAAGAATAGCACTACCAAAGACAAATTACAAGTCAGCTGCCATCAGGTCAACTGCAACTCATGGCTACCCGTGAGTATCACAGTAGAACTGTGCACCATAGGATTTTCAATGGCTGATTTTTCAGAAGCAGACAGCCATGTCTTCCTCCTGAGGTGTTTCTGGGTGAACTCAAACTGCCAGTCTTTTGGTTAATCATTGATTGCTTCACTGTATGCATCACTCAACGATTCCAGGAGCCCTAGAAATTGGGTCCCTCTACCGCCAGATCAGAAGGTAGTTAAAGATACAGCTTTACTGTGGCTGCCTTTGAAAATGAGCAGAATCCTGGGGAAGAGGGATGTCTCAGAGACAGCAGGCAGGTGGCCCACTCTGGTTAAGTCTTCCTGTGTGGCTTCTTTGAACAGAGTGCTTTCTGGACCTAGGGCAGGGAGGTAGTTGGTGTTTCTCTGAGGTGGATGGCCTTCAGCCTGAGAAGACCAGCTGCGAGCTGTTTCTAGGGCTGGAGAGTAGATAGCGGCTGGAAGTACACCCCACTTGAGAGGGAGAGGTAAAGAGAAAACTGGATTTGTTTTGAACAGATAAAGAAAGAGGAATGTGAGGAAGAAGACAAGTATATAATCTGCATTGTCTAAAGATTGAAAACTTGAGGGAAAGTGGTTACAGCATAGTGGATCACTTAAAATGGCCCTTCTAGCCATAGTCTAAGGAGCTCTGGTACCATAGTGTTACGAATCGAGCTGCTAACCTCAGGGTCAGCAGTTCAAAACTACCAGCTGTTCCGCGGGACAAAGATGAGGCTTTCTGCTCCCGTAAAGATTTACCACCTCAGAAACCCCGTACAGGCTTGTTATGAGTCAGAACCAACTCCATGGTACATAAACAGCAACAACAGCCATACTCTGCACTCTTGCTGTGGCGTTGTAGGATTAGCTCTGGCCTGCAAACCACAAGGTCAGCAGTTCAAACCCACCAGTAGCTCCTCGGAAACCCTATACAGGGTCGCTTTGAGGTTGAACTGACTTGATAGCACTTCACAACAACAACAGCCATAGTCTTAAGACTCACATCAAATGAATGGGTTAGACTGTAAATGAGACGTGTGTCCTGACAAGGGATTGGGTAAGTAGTTTGCTAATAAAGCAACTAAGGTGCACAGAGCCCTGTTGTTCTTCTTGTCAGGTGTCTCCTTGCATTTTCAAAGCTTTAAACTTTTGCGGAACCACTGTGCTCCCTGAGGTGGGGAAGAGCATGCAAGTATGGTGCATGGAACCCAATGAAAGGGTCAGTTTTGCCACCCCAGTAGGCTTATAAGAGAGTCAATCCCAGAGCAGAAGGGGGACCACTACTACCAAGAAGAAGAGACCAGAGCTAGTGTGTCCTTTGGACTCAGGGCTCCTGCACTGAGAACCTATTAGACCAAGTAGACAGGGAACTATAACACTAGAGACAATGAGAAATGGCTAGAAGCAGTAACAGCAGAGGCAACCGAACCATATTAACAGATGCTAACAGTGTGCATAGTGGGCTTTCAGGCCTGCAAAGCAAGAGAACACTCAAGCAGGAAGCTTGCTGGAGTACTGCATACTTATAAGTGGAAGTAAAGAGTTTCTTTAAAAACTTGCCCAAGCAGGACAGAGGCCAATCAGGTCCAAGAGGCCAGAGAGGCCAAAGGCGGCCAGGGAGAGGGCTGCCTGAGAAGAGGCTGCATCCTGAGTCCTTCCTGATACTGAATTATAACCTGTTACTTTCATAATATGTCTGAGTTCTGTGTGGCCACTGCAATGGATTATCAAACCCAGCAGAGAAGTAGAGAGCATCGTGGTAGGGGCGGGTGGTGTTAGAATTAATAAAAAGATTAAGCAAAGGAGGTATGTCTGACTTCCACCTCACAGGAACTAGCCTTGAGTTGATGCTGTTAATGGTGATTCACCCCAGTAGAGAAGTTAGAAAAGCTGGAAGGGATAAATGGCTTTCTCCGTCCACTGTTCACCAAGCAGCTGTCCGGGGAAGGCAAAAATGTCCCGCTCTCCAGCCCACCCCCTGCCATGCCCCTGTGACTTTGAGACACTGTTGTTGTTGTTGTGTGCCGTGGAGTCAGTTCCGACTCATAGCGACCCTGTACAGGGTTTCCAAGGCTACATATCTTTACAGGACTGTAAGCCTCATCTTTCTCCTGCGGAACAGCTGGTAGTTGCAAACTGCTAGCATAGGCTACCAGAGCTCCTTGAGACACCAGAAAACACAAAAACCATACATCTGCATGGCAGTCTACAGTAGCAGTGACAAGGGCCCAGTACTGCTACATCCAGCACACTACAAGGAGTGTGCAGGGGCCTGGACAGAGGCATATTCTAAACTATTCACAGGAGGCTCACAAGGAAAGAAGACGGTGAGGTTCCCTAGAGATTGGAGTGGCCTCAGTGCAGCCCTACTAAGTGTCACTGGTGACACCGATAGGCAGTGCTTCCTACTGCACTCTCAGTCACAACAAGGACCACAGCTTGGACATCAAAGGCAGCCAGTGTGTATCCCCATGCTCATCCCACCCCTGGTACCTGTGTATCACTACCAGTGACCCAAGTTAGTGGGCCATTGGCATCCTGAAAGCTAGTGCCTGTAGGTTTCTCAGTGTGGGGCACAGTTGGTCTTGGTTAAGTGTGTAGTCCTCTGCAGAAGTGGCTGCAGGACAGAGCTAGAAGAACTCCCCTATTCTACTGCAAGGCCCAGCCCCTGACCTAGCTATCCCACTTGACCTCTGACTAAGGAAAATGCCAAAAACTAATGTCCTTGAATGTCTGTGGCTGTGGCTGGCTGCCCAGACCCCTAGACCTGTGTAAGGAGACCCAGAGGTGGGCACAGGCTGGCCTGAGGCACTCACCACTCCATATCTATCTTGGCTGTCCCTCCCCAGATCACCTTGATGCCCTCGATCCTGAACCCGAGGGTGGCTGTAGAGCTGATAGTCTCCCTCCACTGCATATAGCGCGGCTTGGTGACAGCCCGCTGGGCATTCTCCTCCTCTGTTGGAGCTTCAGGGTCCACCTCGATCATCTTCTGATACATGTCCTTTCGCAGGCTAGGCTTCTTGCGGGCCTTAGTGAGTTCCTCCTCCAGGTAGGTTCTGCATGGAGGCAAGGCAACATGAGGGCTTTGGCCTCCCATGGCTCATCACCAGCCTGGCAATAACTAGTGGATGAGGGCTTAGAGCAGGAGTGGCCTGGTCAAGGTTCATAGTTAGTTTAGTGGCAGAGCTGCAGCCCTGAAGCCAAGGCTTGCTCACCAAGGGTGGATGACATGGTCGACTCGGCTGATGCCTGGACTGGAGCCACTTCATTCTAGGACCATCCAGAAGGCCTGGCAAAGCCTAACGAGCAAACACCCTGCCTTCTAGAAGATCCTCAGGCCCAGCAGAGTAAGGAAGATATAAGTCATCTCAGTGGTTTGCCCTGTGGACTGGAGACTTCCCCAATCTCTTACCCTGACTGGGTCAGTGCCTGGGAATCTTCACCTTCACTCGCTGTGTTCTGATCCCCTAGCTCCACCCTCACAGTTGGGAAGGTGCAATCTGACCTTGAATGCCTCAGGCTCTCTCCAAAGAGAGGAATCTTGAGCACAAGAGTCAGGCAGGAAGGTGGCCTTCTATGGGTCACAATGTGGGAGAAAGAAGCCTTATCATTTGCTCTGTCTGAAGTCATACCAGCTCACCCTATCTCACCAGCTCCAGTCCTAGGCCTGGTCAATGTCTCTGGTACCAGAGTGTCCATATCAAAAGCCTGAGAAAATGTGCTCAGCTAAGCTGTCTCTTTGTCTGTCTTCTACCTAAGCAGGCTGGGCTTGGTGCTGGCCTGGCTGGAGGTGACAAGAACAGAGGCCATGAAGGACTTGATCAGCTATAGGCTGAGCCCCCAAGCCCACTGCAGACAGTCCCTGCCCTCTATAACCGGGCATGCCTCAAACTATACCAAGCTTCAAGACGGGCCAAGGGAAGGACCTGCCTCCCTGACCACAATTCCCAAAACTGGAGGTAGAGTTACCTTGAAGCATCCAGGTATGGAAACCTCCATATCAGGAAAAATCTCCTCCCCCTTTTCTACACTCATTCAAATGGCTTCCTCCCCTACATGCGGGCTTTGAGGTGACCAGTGACACTTCATGAAACAGAAATCAGCAATGTCAACAACAGGAGAGGGAAGCTTTCTCTTCTGGTCTCAGCATGGATAGGGGCTGCCCACAAAGGCAGTGGTTGCTGAAAGGAGTCCCCTATTCCTCCCCTTGCCTGTCCCCCACCTAGCCTAAGCCATGCACCCTACACACTCTCCCTCTGTCCTCAGTCCTGCCTTGCTTCACCATTTCCCACCACACCTTCTCCAAGCTGCTGCTTGGGCTCCAGAATAAACTTAAAAAAAGTAATGATGCTTTAAAAAAGATAAGTGTTTAGACACCACTATATCAACTGATATTTGCACTGAAAGAAACAAGAGAAAGCAAATATTTGGGGGTGTGAACTTAGGCTGGGTCCTTTAGAATCTTCCAGAAGATGAGGACGACAGCAAGGGAGAGGCCACCAGTCCCTGTCTATTCGCGCGCGCGCGCGCACACACACACACACACACACACACATGCACACAGTGACACATGCAGCACACATACACGTATAGATACACACATGTGTATGTGTCCACAGTCAGTGATGAGATTTGCAAGGTAGAGAGAATGTGAGGTTGCTGTGTCGGGTTGTGTTGATGTTGGTGCGTGAAGCAGAGTGGAAGGTGGTAAGTGAAGGGGTAGCCAGGCGGTGAGATGGGACTGGCCATCCCAAATGCCAGAGTGAGCTCTGGGGCCTACAGAGTAAGTGAGTGACTGTACTTCTGCAAAGAGCTCCCTAGTGGTTACTTAAACAGGAAGCAGGCCTTGATGTCAAATTCCTTTTCACATGGGTCTGTCTCCACAAAGGGCTCCAGCTCTGTTCTGTTCTCAGAGAAGGATGGGACATGGAGAGAGATGCCCAGGGTTTGATGGTTACCTGGAGATGCGGCCCTGTCCCCAAGGGAAGCAAGGCTCAGCTCAGTGCCTACAGCACAGGTGAGGCCTGCAGGCTCCTGCTCCCAGGACAAAAGGGCAGGGGGGATGAGGTGGGTCTGCTTCTGGGGAAACCTACTCTTTCCTACCAGGTGTTCTCCTTTCTCATCCTGTGATCCCTTTCTCTGGTCTCTGCCCATGACTGAATTGGCAGGGCTCAGATTCACTGTTCACTCTAGGCACATTCCTGAAGCCCTGAAGTATGCTGGGAGAGCAGTAATGGGCCAGGAGCCCACCAAGCACCCTGTATGCCCAGGATCATGGCTCAGGCAGCAGCATAACAGGCCATACTTGGGTTTTAATGACTTTTCAAGAAATAACTGACTATGAGTCTTTCACAAAGAGCTAACTTTTAAAATATCAGTCCGAACAAACACCAATGGAAAGATTTTCCATTTGTTTATACTATACAATCTGAACTCCCCACCACTGTAGGCAGTCTAAGTACTGCTGGTGTTTGGCTTGGAAGGATGGGCTGGGCCTCCCCCTGAGGCAGTACATGCTGGAGCATCAGAGTAGGGTCTTCTAGGGATAGAAAAAAAGGTCTGAGGAAGAGCACAGCCAAGTGATTGCTGGAGGGGTGTTCTGGCTCCACTAGCGCTCCCTGAAGGTACTAAGGGCATTGGTTGGTGGGAGGGACCAGTGCAAGAGTAGACAATTAGGGTCCACACTTCTCCCCCTTTACCCTCGCCATGAGTGCAACATCCACCAAGGACCACGAGTGGGCTGGCCCACACAGTCTACTGTCATGGCAGAGATCCTAATTTGGAAAGGAAAATTTGTTAGGCCTTAACTCAGATCTCACCCGGCCAGTCTGTCTATATGTCTACCTGTCTGTCTCTGTCTCTCTCTCTCACACACACATACACACACATACCCCTTTTGCAATCTCCTCTTATAAAACTAGTTAGATCATCTAAACAAAACACATGTTCATTTAGTTCTGCTGCTCCATGCCTGCCCCGGGGAGCCATATGGCCAAACTCTCAAAATGCACAATGCTGTACACCACACAGGCCACATACTCAGAGGGATTTTACCAAGCCCTGCCCTTCACTACAAGAAGTTAAACAAGAAGGTGCCGCATGTGGCTGTTGGGGCTACAGGGTAGAAGTCTGAAAGAGGATGAGCAAAAACCCCACCTAGACCTAGGAGCTCCAGGAGGCAGCATCTCAGGTCCCAGGCCCTTCGCGTTCCCTCCAACTCAGCTCTTCCCCTATGTGTTCTGCCCACTTACTTTCTTCTCTTCCCTCCCAGGTCCAATCTCACTTAATGTCTCCTGGCATCCATCAGGCTGAGCCTAAACCTGGCCATCAGAAGCCTAGGGGTGGGAGCCCATTCTCCAAAATTATCAAGCCAAATCCAACTCATGTGTAACAGAGTGGAACTGTTTCACAGGACTCTCTAGATTATAATCTTTATGGAAGCAAAGTGGTAGGCCTTTCTTTCTCAGTACTGCTGGGTAGGTTCAAACTGCCAACCTATATATAGGTCAGTAGTCAAGAACAAACTATTTGCACCATCCAAAGATGAGAGCCAGTTCTACACAAGGCCAATCATCTGCCTCTAGGTTTCAGGCTCACCTGGTTGGGAAGTCCCCTGCTGCAGGGCTGGCTGTAGTTGCCAGGCCCCAATCTAGGATGTGGGCAAGTAGGGCATCTCATGATCCCGGGCAGCCTCCATATCTGAAATCTTAGGGTACACGCGAGTCTTTTTGGCAAACCGAAACCAGCTCTATTCTGCCATTCTCCAGGATTAATGAAAAGGCTCCCCATAGCATCAACTCATCTAAAGGAATCCATCACCTTGCTCCCTCCCCTACTTGGTAGTGGCCACAGAAATTCCACTTGCTCTTCAAAGGGCAGTTCTCGCTGGCCCTCTCCCTACAAACAGGCTCAGCACAAAGCCTCAGCTCACTAGTAAGGAAAGGAGCTATCATGGGACTCAGCTACAGTCCCTGCAATCCCTGCACATACTGTGAGAGGGCTGGCGGAGGGTGGGGTAGGGGAGACTCTAGTTAGTCCAAGCCAGACTCCAGGACCTACCCTTGCAGTCTAGACCTCTCAGGAAGCCCTCATGCCTCTCAGGCATATGCCATGGCTAGCTGGCACTCAGGCAAGCATGCTCCGAGGACCTGGCTCACCTGATGCCCATCTTGCAGTCCATCACACATGGTGAGTCAAAGTCAGCCAACAGGTCATCCATCTGGTTATAGCGCTCCCCATCCTTCACCACATCCCCATGGTAGGTGGGCACAAAGGGCTTCAATACATCCATCATCAGCTGGTCCAGACAGCGCTGCTCTGATTCACAGTGCTTCTTCAGGATCCGGCCATTGGCTGCAGCCTTGAAACTCCCTGCGACAAGATGGGAGGGGGCCTTTGATCCCTAAGCAGTAGTCATCCCCTCTTAGCACAGACCCCAGGACTCTCTGGAGATGATGGAACACATCTCACGCTCAGGACAGAAGGTGCCCAGGTCTCCACTGAGAGCAGGAGAGCTTGAGTAGTGGGTAAGCTACAAAAGTTGACAATTCTATGTGTCTTTTTAAGTAAATGACAAGAGTTAGAGAGCAAGAAAAAGTTTCAAAGAAATTGGGACAAAGGATGGCCAAGATGGAGTTGGGAGAGAGATGGCATATTCTGTTTGTGTCCAGGCATAGCATGGCTACAATTTCAGACTACAAAGTCTCTTTTCATCCTCAGGAGGAGCACCTAGAGGTCAGGTGGTCCTTTCCCATGTTTGCTGCCCCCACCCTCACCCCAGTCAAGCCCTCCTACCCTGGTAAGCAGGGTACTCTGGAAAGCAGCATCTACCTGCGTGTCCTGCCAGCTGGATCCAGGGGTACTTCTTCTTGAAGGACATGACAAATGGAGACCAGTGCACCATGTTTTTTATCTTCCTCCATGATTTGCTCTAGAAATAAGCAAACAGTCCTGTATTAGAAAGAGGGCTTGTCTGGTTAGGATGAGTTCAAAGTGAGCTAACTCACTGCTTGCTGTCACAAAATAATGAAGAGAACCATGAATTGACCACCATACAGAGCCCTCTGTGGCTCTGGGTAATGCTGTCTTTCATTTACTAGAGTCAGAGGGGGGAGGGGGGCTTTAACTCCTACTATAAGCAGTTTGAACCAAAAGCCCCAAAGCAAGGAGACCTTCTGGAATAAGGATCTGACAAGTTCAGGGAAAAGGTGGTGCAGGGCAAAATGGTCTCAGTGCTGTGTTGGCCCCATTCCATGCCAATGTCCTATCAAGGAAACAAATGAACTACATTCCTGTCCTTGCTGATGTTCCCTCGGTGGGCCTTGTTTTCCTCAGCTGTCTGCTGAGGCAGGGACAGCTGGGCTATCAAGCTCTCTGAGCTGACAGACAATCTGTTGTTGTTATTAAGTGCCATCAAGTCAAGTGCCCGTAGGGACAGGGAAGCTATTTTCTGCCAAGGGACATTTGGATATTTACAGCGTCAATCACAGACCATGCAAAATTAGCAACTTAAAAACTTGCCTGCTATATTAGGTCAAACATTTAATTAACTCACCCCTACCTAACATGATGCTGGAACTGAGGTTGCTTTGGCAGGGACAGACCACATAAGGCCTGTAAGCCGGACGTTCCCCACTGCTGCTGTATAAGGTTTCCAAGGAGCAGCTGGTGAGTTTGAACTACTGACTTTGTTTTGTGGTTCAAACCAACCTTGAAGGTTCAGTGTGTTATCCTAGGACTCTGTCTGGAAAATGACTTCCCTCCCTCCAACATCAGAGGGCCAGTATCACCGTGCTATGACATGGTATCTCATGGTGTATATGTGGGTATAGTGTCTCCAGGGTACTGCTTGCCTGTGAGCAGTCTGAAAAGAGACTTTAAAGGGCATTCTCTGAGGACAGTCCCCATCCCCACCGAGGGGCCCTGGAAACCATGGTAACAGGAAATAAACAATAGGTCCCTCTTCTGTACTATGCCTCTGCTCAGGATGTTTCTTAAGTGAAAGCATACAGAACCATCAGTGTGTGTGTGTGTGTGTGCATGTCAGTATGCGTCAGCATGTGTCATTATGTAAACATGAGTGTGTCCACCTGTGTGCCAGCATGCATGTAAATGTCTCAGTATTTCAATGAGTGTGTGGATCAGCATTTGTGTCAGTAAGGGAATGAATGGGTTAGTGCATGTGTATGTAAATGTGTATTAGTGTATGAATGTGAGTGTGTGCCAGCATGTGTCTCAGTATGTGAACGTGTGTGTCAGTGTTTGTGTGTCTGTGTCTGAGTGTCAGCATGTGTGTAACTGTCAGTATGTGAATATGACAGCATGTGTGTGTAAATGTGTGTGTCAGTATGTGAATGTGCGTCAGTATATGAACATACCAGCACGTATGTGTAAATGTGTGTAAGTGAATGTGAATCAGCACGTGTGTATATGAATGTGTCAGTGTGTGTCAGCATGTATCAGTAAGTGAATGTGTGTCAGTGCTCATGTATGTAAATTTTTGTGTCTGTATGTGCTGTCAGTTTGTTGTACTGTGGTGAACTGCATGTTGCTGTGATCCTGGAAACTATGCCACCAGTGTTTTAAACACCATCAGGGACACACATGGTAGACAGGTTCCCACCAGAGCTTCCAGTCTAAGACTAGAAAGGAGAGACAGACTACTTCTGAATATTTAGTAACTGAAACCCTTATGAATACCAGTGATATACTGTCAAATAGCACCAAAATACTGAATACTGAAATTTGATGAAGAGCACTGGAATATTATCAGATATAGTGCTGGAAGATGAGCACCTCAGATTGGAAGGCACTCAAAATATGCCTGGGGAAGAGCTGCCTCCTCAAAGTGGAGTTTACCATGATGTGAGTGAAGTAAAGTCTTCACGACCTTCATTTTCTGATGGGGCACAACTCAAAATGAAGAGAAACAGTTGTAGATATCCATTAATAATTGGAAAATGGAGTATATAAAGTATCAACCTAAGAAAGCTGGAAGTTGTCAAAAATTAAATGGAATACATAAACATCCATATCCTAGGCCTTAACACAGTGAAATGGACTGGTACTTGCCATTTTGAATCGGGCAATCATGGTTTACTATGCCTAGAATGATAAATTGAAGAGGAACAGCATCACATTTATCATCAAAAAGAACATTTCAAGATCTGTCTTGAAATACAATGCTGTCTGTGATAGGATAATATCCACACACCTACAAGGAAGATCAGCTAATACCACTATGATTCAAATTTACGCACTAACCAATAAAGCCACTGATGATGAAACTGAAGAATTCGATCAACTTCTTCAGTCTGAATTTGGTCAAACATGCAATCAAGATGTATTACTAATTACTGGTGATTGAAATGAAAAGGTTGGAAACAAAGAGGAAGGATCAATAGTTGGAAGATATGGCCTTGGTGAGAGAAATGATGCTGGAGATTGCATGACAGAATTTTGTAAGACCAATGACGTTTTCATTCCAAATCCCTTTTTTAAACAACATAAAAGACAACTATACACATAGACCTTACCAGATGGAATACAAAGGGATAAAACTGACTACATCTATGAAAAGAGATGATGGAAAGCTTCCTATTATCAGCCAAAACAAGGCCAGTGGCAGACTGTGGAACAGACCATCAATTGCTCGTATGCAAGTTCACACTGAAGTTAAAGAAAATTAAAAAACAAGTTCACAAGGGCCAAAATATAACCTGAACATATCCCACTTGATTTAAAAAATCATCTGAAGAACAGATTAGATGCATTAGACATTAAAGATAGATGACCAGAAGAGTTGTGAGATGACATTTAAAACATCATACAGAAAGAAAGCCAAAAATCATTAAGAAGACAAGAAAGTAGGAAAAGAGCAAAATGGATGTCAGAAGAGACTCTGAAACTTGCTTTGCTCTCCAACATAGAGATGCTACAACAAATGGAAGAAATGAGGAGGTAAAAGAGGTGAACAGAAAAATTCCAAAGGGCAGTTGGAGAAGACAAAGTCAGATATTATAACAAAATGTACAAAGACCTGGAGTTAGAAAATCAACAGGCAAGAACTGCTCAGCATTTCTCAAACTGAGGGAACTGGAAAAAATTTCAAATCTCAACTTTGAATATTCAATGGTCTTGTGGGCAAAATATTGAATAATGCAGACAGTATCAAATAAGATGGAAGGAATACGTAGAGTCACTGTTCCAAAAAGAAATGGTAGATGTTCAAACATTTCAAGAGGTAGCATATGGTTAAGGGCCAATGATACTGAAGGAAGAAGTCCAATGTGCACTGAAGGTACTGGCAAAGAATAAGACTCCAGAAATTGATGGAATACAAACTGAAATATTTCAACAAACGGATATGGCACTGGAAGCACTCATTCATCTATGCCAAGAAATCTGTAAGACAGCTACCTGGATAACTCATGGGAAAAGATCCATATTCGTGCCCTTTCCAAAGAAAGGTGACCTATCAGAATGAAGAAATCACCAGACAATTATAATTAATATCTCATGCAAGTAACATTTTGCCAAAGATAATACAAAAACAGCTACAATAGTACACTGACAGAAAACTTCCAGAAGTTCAAACCAAATTCATATGAGGATGTGGAACATAGGATCACACTGCTAATGTCAGATGGATCGTGGCTGAAAGCAGAGAATACCAGAAAGATGTTTACCTGTGCTTTACTGGCTATGCAAAGGTTTTTGATTGTGTAGATCATGACAAGCTATGGACAACTCTGAGGAGGAGAATGAGTGTTCTGGAACACTCAATTGTGCCCATGAGGAATTTATACATAAAATAAGAAGCATCTGTTTGAAGAGAACAAGGGAACACCAAATGGTTATAATCTCTCACCATATTTATTCAATCTATATACTGAGCCAATAATCTGAGAAGCTGGATTATATGAACAATGTGGCATTAGGACTGAAGGAAGACTCATTAACAACCTACGATATGCAGATAATATAACCTTGCTTGTGGAAAGTGAAGAGGATTTAAAATACTTACTGATGAAGATCAAAGACCACAGCCTTCTTTATGGTTTGCACCTCAATATAAAGCAAACAAATATCCTCACCACTCTACCAATAAATACCAACAAAAGAAATAGAGAAAAGATTGAAATTGTCAAAGACTTCACGTTGTTCAGATCAACCTTCAAGACTCATGGAAGCAGCAGTCAAGAAATCAAACAACCTGGTAGCATAGTTGTTATAAGTTGGGCTGCTAATCTAAAGGTGAGCAGTTTGAAACTACCAGCGGTTCTATGGAAGATGAGGCTTTCTGGTCCCATACAGATTTACAGCCTTGGAAACTCTATACAGGGTTTCTATGAGTCCAAACCAACTCCATGGCACATAACCACCACCACCATTGCATTGGGCAAATCTGTTACACAACATCTCTTGCAGAAAAAGTTCAAGAGCAAAGATGTCAGTTTGAGGACTACGGTGTGCCTGACTCAAGCCATGTTGTTTTCAATAACTTCATATGCATGTGAAAGTTGGACAGTGCATAAGGAAAATCATAGAAGAATTGATGCATTTTAATTATGGTGTTGGAGGAGAATATCAAAAGTACAATGGACTACCAAAAGAACAAACAAGGTTGCATTGGAAGAAGTATAGGCAGAATGTTCCTTGGAAACCAAGATGGCCAGACTTCTTGTCTCATACTTCAGTCATACTTTCAGGAAGGATCAGTCTCTGGAGAAGGACGTCGTGATTGGTAAAGTGGAAGGTTGGAGAAAACGAGGAAGATCCTGAACAAGATGAATTGGCACAGTGACACCGGCAATGGGCTCAAGTATAGCATCAATTATGAGGTTGCCGCAGGACCTGGCAGTGTTTTATTCTGTTATGCGGGAGCTATGAGTCAGTACTGACTTGATGGCACCTAACAACACCAACAAC